TTTTGAGCAAATTTTCAATCATATGTCCCACCGTCGGGCAATAAATATTGGTCAAATACCCCCACCATTTTGCAATAAATTAAAAAAAGTCATTATTAATACATTTGGTTTAAAGATCTTTAAATTGGGCCAAAATGCTAATCAAAATCCCCAGGGTGGGGATGCTGAGCTGCCAAGTCTCACAGTTTACCTGTGAGTCTCCAGGTTTTCGCGCTGACCTCCAGGTCTCACGGTGGGTGTTGAAAATCTCACGGGATCCATTAAAATGGTCCTTTAGGCCAATGGAACTGTGGATTCTGTTTACCGTCCACCGCCCGCATGTGCTTGCAACTACCGCAAGAATTTTTCATTATTCTTAATTATTTTCATTATTTGTCATTATTTTTAATTCTACGCATCGAAACTTTCAAATATACATCAAATCATCAAATCTTCGATATAAAAAGCCGTACATCGCTGATGTATGATGGATCAGTCGGCATTTGTTCGGTACACTTGGAAATTCGCGAGTCTGACATGTGCAAATTCGAAAAAAATGGCGTGACAAAGAAATTTTCAGCAAAAATTTTCCCAAAAATGATAAAAGAATGCTGGACAAAAGTATTGATGGTCGAGATCAAAAGAAAACGATTTAAGGATCATTTTTGGTTGGAAAATAGATAATAACAAAAATAATGAAAAATGAATAATGAAAAAAACCCGCATCAGATTTTTAAAATTCTCGGACAGTAAACAGAATCTACAGTTCCATTGGCCTTATGCATGGATTCTGCATCTATGCTCTGAAAAACATACAATTTGCAAAAATATCGTCTGTTCTTTCGAAAGAAATCTGTACGTATTTGTAAAATGACACTCTTGTTAAAAAAATTAAGTAGCGTGGAAGTATAACTAAACGTGAATTATGTGTGTGCGCGGGCTTATTTTTTATTACACATGCATATATGGCAATCTGGTTCCCCGAGCATGCCCAGTCAACAATAATATAAAGTCAACAATTTATACATAATTTTATTAAAATTTTTCAGTATTAAATGGGTCTTAAATATTGTCTGTGCTACTCTGTCTGGCTATCGCTGCCAGGGGGGGTACGAACTACGAACTAAAGGCCCCAGCAACCTCCAGGTTTTTAATCATCTCAACTTGGCAGCTATGGGGATGCAATTGATGATCAAATACCCCACATATGCCTGACCCCCCCTCTGGGGGTTAACATTGATAGGTGCATTATAAAAACCGCCTCCCCCTGTTGTGAAACAAGTCCACAAAGTGGGATGGAATCTATTTGTTGACAGTCAGGTTATAAAGTTAGGATTGGGGTCAGTGGTATTAGCCAGGGTTTTAAAAGTGGGGGGGGGGGCACTGCTATAGAACTAAGTTATTCAGGGGGGTTCTCTTGACGAGCGTGAAGCCGTGAAATTGTAAAAAAATGTGTGACATCATCATATGACATCACAGATGTTCACAACTCAATTATTCATAATAAGTCTCATATGTTATAACCACGTTTAAATGAATAGGACCTTTATGCCTGGAATAGACTTATAGACACACACATGGAAATGAGTCGGCCACAACAACTTATGAATGATTTTCAAAACAGTAATGATAACATTATGCATATTATTATTGAATTTCTAAAGTAGATCTAAGGGGGCTCAGCCCCCCCCCCCCCCGCTCCAGAGCTTGAAGAAGGGGGGCTGCACCTCCATTTCTACAGCACTGGGGGAGGGACAATTTGAGTCGCATGTTAATCTAGGGGGGGAGGATGGAGAAAATGTTGAAATTCAGACAGAGCCTCTGAAATGCTATTTTGTGCATTATTTTGGGTGAGATTTTACAAATTCAGAAGATTATTAGATTGAGAATAAGCTAGCCTGCGGGCAGCCCCATATCACGTAACGAGGGAAGGTATGGAGCTGCCCCGCAGGCTAAGAATAAGCTGGACGTGAAATTGGATCAAGGTTTATACACACCCCGATTTTTCAACGGATTTAAATGTTCCCCCTGTGGCTATGCCACTGATTGGGGTTGCAGTTAGAAACAGAGTTAAGATTTAACCCATTGAACTATTGGGTGGCAGCACTCTCCCCTTGAGAATTAAAATCGTCTGGCACTAGACAGTAAAACAGTGTGGTGTTAGTCAGGTTATATGCGGTTAGTTATACACATCAGTGTATATTGCCACTTAAAAGGTTAAGTTGCATTGTGCTCTAATACACCCTACTTTATAATTTTTCATGTCAAGGGGAGAGTGCTAGCACTCAATGAACCGAAGTTGATTTGAATGCAATTTTCGGGTATTGCTTTCATTTACTAAAAATGAATATAAAACCAGGCATGAGCCCAGCAAATATATGTATTCACTAAATTTCACTAAACAATGTGTGCAAAGTTCATTTGATTTTGCTATGCAGATACAGATGTTTATGTCATTGTATTGTCATATAGTATTATATCCTGTGTGATCATACAGCTGTACACATCCTAGTATAAACATCCGAATCTGCATACCCACATGAGCTACACAATAATTTGCTTGATACAGTTGATAGCAAAGTCAGATGAATTATATAATAGTTCTTACATTTGAGCTGCCTATGATAAAATCAGGTTGCCTTGAACTCACAAATTTCAGCTCATTTATAGGTGAGAATTGTTGCAGCTGACCCAGGCAAAATCGTTGCTGAATTGACAGTGGAGGAGGAACATCAAAATGCTGTCGGAACCTTACATGGAGGACTGACGGCAACGTTGATTGATAGCATGACAACCATGGCATTACTAAGCATGGAAAATGGATTGCCTGGTGTCAGCATTGATCTCAATGTCTCGTAAGTGTTACATTCTAGCGACAATGCGCCACTTAAGTCTTAACCCATTGAGTTGCATTGTGCCCCACTTTATTATTTTACTCTAACTCAGTCTAACACCAGACAATTTTGCTCATCAAGGGGAGAGCACTGGGCGTAAAAAAATACCTGTGGTTCCGGTTTCATGTTGTGAAAAAATTAGGGTTGGTAGGTCGGAAATAAATTTTTTTTGAATATTTTTTTCATGGTTTTGGCGGGTTTTTTCTGGGCGATTTGCAGTAGAGTCCCAACATCAATATTAACTAGAGATGCGTATTTCCTATGGACGAATTTAGGCAATTTGGTTCAATAATTAGTGTGACAACAGACGCCATTTTGGCACGCTGTATGAGCAGCCCGCAACCACCTGGATAAAATAGGGTGGGTCGGCAGAAAAAATAGGGTCGGTTGGGAACCGCAACCACAGGTATTTTTTTTTTACGCCCTGGCGCTCAATGGGTTAACTTTGCTAGTTTACACACTCTAAACCAAGACAATTTTAATCGCCAAGTGGAGATTAAAATTTGACGTTTTCAAATGTTCCTCAAAAGTGTGTAAAAACAAGTGAACGTAAAATTTGACTGTACACAGGGCTCAAAATAACGGGAGATACGTCTCCGGTCAAAATGACCGGTCAACTTGATTTTAGCTCGGTCAAGATCTGTTTTTGACCAGTCATTGATACGCTTGAAACAAACTAAATTATTAGAAACTTGCTTCGATACATCATAGTTTCATGTTTTAGTTTAAGACGTCAGCAATCACTTTGGAAGGCATGAAAACGTGGACGGTCAAAATGTCATTGTCCGTTGACCGGCCGTTATTTTGAGCCCTGGTACATTACGGCAAATTTGTGAAAAATTGAAAATGTTCCTCAATCTTCTCGCTAATAAAAATGTTCCTCACTCTTCAGGATAGTGAGATCCCATTTTTTCCAGGGGTAGACTATCAATGTCTCTTGTAAAACTAATGTTATTCTCAAAACGTATGTATTTTAACAACACATCTATTCTAAAAATTGTATATTTCAAAAATCTGTTTTGGTTCATCTTCAGCAGTATAAGATATGACGTATAACTATAAAAGCGCATGCGTCTGTATATATAGGGCGGTGCAACGAGCGAGCGCACACTGATGGACGTGTGGTGCGGAAATAGCCCCAGGCGAGCATGTTTTTTGAGAAAATGTAGTATTTGATATGCCCAGTGGCCCCAGTTCTTGTGTCCATATTAGATATGTACAATATCATTCTGAGTATGGATTTAGTTTGCATTTAGTGAAAATTCTGCTGTCAGAGAGAGTTTATTATGGGTAATGCGTGTGCTTTTGATTACCCTACTTCAATGTTGACAAAATTACAAATATGAATATCTTTTGTCGACTTACTGCCAACACCTACAAACTCAGGCATGTTGAAGCTCCTTATCTCAAGTTTATATCGTAAAAGAATAGCCAAAACCGGAGTTCATCCTCAGAAGATATCATGGCTGAAATTTGACCTTTTTTAAAGCCTCGATTCAGGACAATAAGCCAGTAAAATCTTACGAAAACATATAACCATCCTGGGCAAAACCATAGTCTATCAAGATATGATGATCGGGAAACTAAATAGAAGTGTCTGTTACATAGATATCTTATATACACTAGATAGTGCATCTAATTATTCTGCAATTCAAAAATTGACGCCGTGATTCAGCAGACTCAGAATATTCCCATGAAATGAGAAGACTCGTATGTTTTCTATTTCTTAAACAGGGAACTTAAACATTAAGTTAAACCTATTCCAAATACATATTCAAACTATTCAAATGATGAAAGTTATTGCTGTTTTTTAAGCGTTTATTAGTGAGTGGGAAACTCCAATATGGCTGCCATCTATTCAAATGGGGGTAACCGCTGGAATATTCTTGGCTTCGATGCGCTATCTAGTGTATATAAGATATCTATGGTCTGTTATATGTTTTCGTCTGAGTTTATGTTAATTTGTCGACATTGTATTTTCGTATAATGAAGTAACCGTCCAATCGGGATAGCTGAGATGAATCGTGCAACCACAATGAATAATATTTAATGAAGTTGAGACAAAGGATTTGTGCACGGTAAGGTATGGTTCAACATCAAACAAAGGTCTTCTATTTTGTGGCTTTGAAGTTTGCCAGGAGTCCAGACCATCATATCGTAATAGACTATGGCAAAACCAAGAAGTCGACCTTCTGTAAGGTTCCTATTCTCTGCCTGCAGTTATAATATTGTGCCTCATATTTTTCCTATAGGTATATGTCAGCTGCGAAAAGTGGTGACCTTGTCACGATTACAGCAGAAGCTCTAAAAGTTGGAAGGACCATGGCTTTTACTACGGCCGAATTAAAACTGCAAGATGGGACTATTGTAGCGAGAGGGAATCATACGAAACACTTAGGAATGCCAACAGCTAAAAAACGAAGTTGAATTTGTACGAAATTGTACAATTGTTCGAATATGTACAAAGTCAAAGGTTTATGGGTCGTAAACCAGTAGTTTATATGAGAGTGAGAAAATAAAGTTATTTCTTTACATTCAGGGTTCTTTTCAGGACTTTTTGAACTTTTTTTTACTTTTTGGACTTTTTGAACTTTTTTTTTTAACCTTTTTTTACTTTTCTTTTTTACTTTTTTGAACTTTTTTCCTTTTTTATGGCCCAAAAAACTCAAACTTGAATTGAGTTTTGAAACTCATCATCTCATCAAACGTTTCAGTGCAGTAAAAAGTGCGAGTTGTTTGAGTTAAAATTGTGACGTGGAAATAATTTTTCCTGTTGGAAATCCAACAAAGTCAAAGACGTAAGAAAAACCGAATATACCACCTGCAATGCGATTCACAACACAAATTTAAAGCAATTTTGAGCTGTTCTAAAGCCATGTAAAGGCTGAATTGTGAAACGTTTCTATTAAGTCGTAAATATCGCAATTGTCGCGTCGCAAGAGTCGCAGAAATAGACTGGCTGCGATTGAAAATATCCTTGTGCCTTGTGGACAGCCCATTTTCCACTAGGCGAATTGTTCGCGAACAGTAAAAAAAAGTAGGAACGTTTTCGCGGCGAATTTTTTCGCTGACCAATCACATTGCCAAGAATCAAGATTTGTTTCTCGCTTCGCGCGAACAAATTCGCCCAGTGGCAAATGGGCTTTACTTGTTACAGTTTTCAAAAGGCGCCTCTAATTATATAATATATTAAGGACATTTTTTGTTATTTTAATTAACGCCGTTATAAGATCAAACATATTGAACAAAACGCCGGTTCCTCAAGCTATGCTTAATTAATTAAACATCTGTCGTACTATTATTCTCTATTTAACCCACTTTTACTTTCATATAACATCTGCGAAGAACAATATTGTCAGTATTGAGTTGTATTGAGCCACCTTAACGAAAGAAAGGTATAAAAATCTAAAAACTGTATTGAGCCACCTTAACGAAAGAAAGGTATAAAAATCTATTTGTATAGGTAATATAGTATGGTTTCGAGTGCAATTTGGGAAAACCATGCACGAGTGAGTTTTTCAAAGACGATCAAAATTGCACGAGTCCGAGTGTATCCTATAGTCAATGAAATTTGCACTGTATTTCATTTTTTGACACTGTCACTGAATCCATTTTTTGGCACTGTATTTCATTTTTTGGCACTGTATTTCGAAAAAATTGCACTGTTCTTCATGTATATTATTAAGTTTGTAATATTTTTCATGGAAAGATTTTTAAAGAAAGGTCAGTATTTTAACCTGTTTGTATGAGATACGACGCTTTCGAAGTACTTGACGGGTTTCGTTGACAAAAATTGAATTATTCAGAAGCATTAAATTCAACGAATTAAACGGACGGAAATTGGACGTGTAATTGAAGCTGAAGGTCTCAGCGTCTTATTTAAATTTCAAAGGCAATATATAAAATTGGATGAAATAAGGTGTCTTCGTGTGAATATTCCATGTTTTTAATTAACAGCTTTACTTTTCAGCTGTAATATCGCTCGTGGTTCAATGATTCATTCTGAATTCACCTTAATTGTCATATTGTACGATATAAAACGCTGTGCAGCAACTGCACGCATGCAATATCCTTGCGATCAGCCTAGTCCCAGGCTCTCTCTCTCTATTCGCTGCCGGCTTTGATGTATTTAAATAAGTCTTAAAAGTTTTATGCCTGGGTGTGCTGTGCGGAACGCTTCAGCGAGAGAGCCTAGCAGATATCGGTAAAATGGTCCCTGATTTCAAAAAATTGGTCCCTGGCCTGGTTACTAAGCATACCTCATTTGTAAATGGAAAATGTTATGGAAATTCCTTTGCATTTATAATTAAGTCATTAGTTTTGCTTTAATGCTGTCGGAACAATGAAGTAGGCTACGTTTCGCTGCCATACGGTCAGAATGGAATAACGGGCTTAAAATGACTCGTGTTTACTAAAATATATAGCCATATTAAATGCTATATCTAGAATTATGCCGAGTCTCCGACTAAGAATGTTTTGACAACACCGTCATGTCAGGCAAATATCTCCAATCTCCTCAGCAATTTAAACCTGTCAAGTAGAAAGCGTAGTTGTGTATACCAGTATGGTCTAGTGTTGATCACAACTTGCGAGTACCTAAATAACATCAACGATTGCTCAAACTTGATATCGTAAATTTGTATATAAAGTTTTTTAGTTGAGCACATTTTTAATACAGTTTGATTTGGTTATGTAGACATCGAACACGTACATGATGAACGAACATTGTCGTATTTATAATTAAAAGGTTACTTGCATATATATATAACTTTTCCGCCATATTAAAAATACTGAAATCTGCTAGGCGTTCTGAAGCACCTTGAGCGGTGACGTCACACCTAGGTCCCAGTCTCGTACTACATCCACTTTTTTCTCGCGCTTGCTTCAGAACGACTGGGACTAGGCTGCCTTGCGATCATAAATGATGAATCACACGGTCACGGAAGAAAATGATACCTTTTTGATAAGGTGCAAAATTGGTGAAAATTCCTATCAGACTCTAAACAGATTTCCTAACGAAGAGTATGAACGCAATAGGATTGCAATGCTTGTTATCGTTTGTATGTTGTTATTCTCAACGATAATATTAAACGGAATCTCAATTATAACAATAAGAAAATCATCTCAACTTAGAAACAAAGTTTGTTACTTCGTCATCTTCCTTCAAACTATCGTCGATTTAGGCGTTGGTGCTCTAAGTATACCCATTTTTATTTACCATCTACTTTCTCCATTTTTGAGCACTGCAAAATGCACTTTACTGCCTTGGGTTATTGTAACTACATACTTACCTTGTGCAATATCAATAATAACACAATCTGCAATGACTCTGGAAAGATACATAGGCGTGCTGCATCCTTATTACTACGAAACCCAAGTTACGAAGAAACGAATTTTGATGTATGTATGCGGAGGTTGTTGTGCTCCCTATATAATAATATCTTTGTCTCGTGATCGTACATTGATTAGAACTCTCTGGGCAGTAATAATACTTACATTTTTCTGTTTTACTGCATTTGTTTACACAAGAATATATCTTGTGATACGAAAACTAGTTCGTTCCGAAAAAAGGCCAGCCTGCGAAAGCGATGGCAATCAAAATGTAACAAAAAGGCAATTTTTTCGTGAAATCCGACACGCAAGATCATGTTTTGCTGTCGTTGTCTGTTTTGGAATTTTCTTGTTGCCTTTAATGCTGGTAATGGTCTTCTTCAACATCAGCAGTACAATCTTCTACATCGAATATGTAAATTGGTCAACCACATCAATGATTTTCAATCCAACCATCAATTCTGTGATTTTCTTTTGGACAAAACCATTGCTCAGAAAAGAAGCTTTTAAGACCCTCAGATTATATTACTCGTGAAGTGTTTAATATAGGATGTGGAAAAGGTCCTGAAGGAGTAAATGAGAACTGCGATTTGCCGATTTTTGGACTGGGAAAATGAGATTTGGGTTACTGGGAATAGTGAAAGACACAAAAAATGGGAAAACCCAAATACCATTATAAAGACAGTTGTTCTATAGTTAGTGTTAAAGAGAGTCTTGTGCATTAATGGGATTAATTTCAAAACCACTTCAAATTGTTTTAAATCTATGCTATGATGGTTTTCCAATTTTTCTTTTAATTAAAGCTTTCATTCTGTTTTGTTTTGTTTTTCGTTAATTCTTTTTCGGCCGTTTTGTTCGTTCTTCAACCTTAATAGGTAACTATTCTTCCCTGGGCCTGCACGCGGGCTAATAGGTAACTGGAATTTTTTATGTTTTGTCAGAACGTATAACAATGGGCTTCTCTGTTACCCCACACCTGTTTTGTCTCCAGGCTATTATGAGTATTATCATTGATGCTGTAAAATTGACGCCATATTTATGCAACAATATAAGCAAAACTTATTGAACTTCAGAAATCATTTTCTCCTTGGCGTACCATCTAAAATCTCTTCATTTCAGCATTATTTTACAGATAAACCACTAAACATGCATACTTTTTAAGATTGTTTGCAGCTTGAGAGACATATAAAAAATTTAAAAATTTGAATAATAATAATAAAACTTTATATGAGGGATTTCATTGATTACTTAATATGGTATTCTTCCCAATGGTCCTCGATGTCTAATATAAAAAAAATCTTATTGAGAGTAACATTGACAATGAGTAATATGCTTACAATCGATGCAGCAGAACTTATTAACGTGATCTACTTCGTAATTCAATTGAATAAAGTAGGCTTTGAGTTTCTTTTTATAGGAATAAATTGAGTGATTTTCAATATCTTTTAATTCGGATGGTAAAGAATTGAATAAACTTGCACCACTGTAGGACATTTTGGATTTAGCTTGCGTAGTTTCTTACAGATAACGGCACTAAACATACCTTTTAAGTTTGTTTGCATGCCGATTGAGAAACGTAACTATCGTCTATCGAAAAATAAAGTTTTTATATACTCATTATTACATTACTCATTAGGCAGCTTTGAACACATGTTTGGAATATGGAAAAAGATCTCTTAATTTAACGAAAGAAAGGTATAAAAACTTATTTAGTTTGTAATATTTTTCATGGAAAGATTTTTTCAAAAAAGGTCAGTATTTTAATAGGTTTTTTAGGATGTTGAATTTTCATCCAATGTGCAATTTGATTGTTGGATTTATAGGCCTAATGCTACTCACGTCCTAAGACTTAATATCTTTATTCGTAAAATATCGTGTCGACCCAGTACACCTCCCGAACGCCTATGTCTATGAGATACGACGCTGTCGAATTACTTGACGGGTTTCCTTGACAAAAATTGACTTTGAATAATAGAGTAAAATTCAGAAGCATTAAATTCAGCAAATTAACTTCGACGGAAATTGGACGTATATAATTGAAGCCGAAGGTCTTAGCGTCTTATTTAACTTTCAAGGGCAATTATATAAAATTGGATGAAATAAGCCATAAGATGTCTTCGTGTGAATATTTCATCTTTTTAACAGCTTTACTTTTCAATGGTTCAATGATTCATTCTGAATTTTCTTTGTCATACTGTATGATATAAAACGCCGTGCTTGTGCAGCAAATGCAATCATAAATGTGATTCGCCATCATAAATGATGAATCACACGGTCACGGAAGAAAGTGATACCTTCTTGATAACGTGCAAACTTAGTAAAAGTTCCTATCAGATTCTAAACAGATTTCCTAACGAAGAGTATGAACGCAAATGGATTGCAATGCTTGTTATCGTTTGTCTGTTGTTATTCTCAACGATAATACTAAACGGAATCTCGATTATAACAATAAGAAAATCGTCTCAACTTAGAAGCAAAGTTTGTTACTTCGTCATCCTCCTTCAAACTATCGTCGACTTAGGTTTTGGTGTTCTAAGTGTACCCATTTTTATTTACCATCTACTTTCTCCATTTTTGAGCACTGCAAAATGCACTTTACTGCCTTGGGTTCTTGGAACCACATACATACCTTGTGCAATATCAATAATAACACAATCTGCAATGACTCTGGAAAGATACATAGGCGTGCTGCATCCTTATTACTACGAAACCAGAGTTACAAAGAATCGAGTTTTGGCATATGTGTGCGGAGCTTGTTGTCCTCTCCTTATAATATTGTTGTCTCGTGATCGTTCAATAATTAGAATTTTCTGAGGAGTAATGACACTTACATTTTTCTGTTTTACTACATTTGTTTACACAAGAATATATCTTGTGATACGAAAACTAGTTCGTTCCGAAAAAAAGGCCAGCCTCATGCGAAAGTTGCGATGGCAATCAAAATGTAACAAAAAGGCAATTTTTTCGTGAAATCCGACACGCAAGATCGTGCTTTGCTGTCGTTGTCTGTTTTGGAATTTTCTTGTTGCCTTTAATGCTGGTAATGGTCTTCTTCAAGATCAGCAGTACAATCTTCTACATCGAGTATGTAAATTGGTCAACCACATCAATGATTTTCAATCCAACCATCAATTCTGTGATTTTCTTTTGGACAAAACCATTGCTCAGAAAAGAAGCTTTTAGGACCCTCAGATTATATTACTCGTGAAGTATTTAATATAGGATGTGCAAAAGGTCCTGAAGGAGTAAATGAGAACTGCGATTTGCCTATTTTTGGACTGGGAAAATGAGATTTGGGTTACTGGGAATGAACGACACAAAAAATGGGAAAACCCAAATACCATTATAAAGACAGTTGTTATATAGTTAGTGTCAAAGTTCAATTTTTCTGTTTTTCGATTGGACAAAAGCATATCACGTGCCGTTTCCCAAAACGTCGTGTTTACTGCATTGCCCTGGCAACGAAGCAACCAGTCCATAATACAACATTATTGACCGGTCAACAATAGGATGGGTGCAGTGCGCATGCGCGTCATCCATGAAGTTGCAAAGTTAATTTTTTAAAACTTTTATTAAACATTTATGTATCGATCAATTCGAAACTTCACCATCCCCCCCCCCCCTCCGGGCATACCCCGGGAATTTGACTTCAAGTCTTCTCCCGGGAGTAGGGAATTTGACGTTCTAGGTCTTCCATGTGGTGGAGCATTTGATAACGGGGTGGGGAATTTGAACCGGAAGTTTTAAAATTTTGCCCGTTTTCGCGTGCTTCCTGCATGCACAGAAAATACTTCGCATTGGCGGCGATACAGTTTTCTCAGATTTCGAGGGAAACGGCCTCAATTTTATTAAAAACTGGCTCAAAGAAACAGGCATGGAAAATCTATGTGCTTCATTTGAAGGTATGTACTACATAATTGTGTAAAACTGTTAAATTTCCACAAGTATCCAAACTTTTTACGTGAATTTCGCTATCTTGTCGAAAAACATTTCCGTATATTTTGTACTTTTTGTATTTACTGTTTCATAATTTTCATATGAAGGTGGGGCATTTGAACGCTTAATTTCTTGTTACAGTGGGGCATTTGAAGACATTTTTTACACAGGGGGTGGAGAATTTGATCAGTCACATTTCAAAAAGTTCAAATTCCCGGGGTCGGCCCGGGGGGGCGATGGTGAAGTTTCGAATTGATCGATACATTACGGCGTTCGGCAGGGCCGGATTAACCACGTGGCAGATGCGGCATATGCCGCGGGCCTCGCGCTTATGGGGGCCTCGCGCTTTACTGTACCACGCCTATTTTTACGAGAACACGTCCATTTTCTATTGGGACGCGCCCATTTTGGGTGCCTCGCGAATTAAGATACCTCGCGAATTTAGGGACCTCGCGCATTTAGGGCCCCTAGGTTTTCATGTCGAGGGAGGGGGTTGGGGGCCTCGCGCTTAAAATCTGCCACGGGCCTCGCGCGACGTTAATCCGGCCCTGGGCGTTCCATTTATCTAGTTTTAGTTTCAAAGTTCACTCCAATAACTGGTGAATTATTCATACTTTGACACTTACATACACTATATAACAAAAAACTTATTTACTGAGACCTGGGGAAAGCAGTTTGTTTTGTGGCCCCTCGACCGCCGTTGTTGCCCTCGGGTCCACAAAACACATTGTTTCCCTTGGTCTCAGTGAATAAGTGATAATTGTAGTTGGACATTTCAGAGTGAAATGACTCGCAAGAGTCGCAGAAATAGACTGGTTGCGATTGAAAATACCCTTGTGCATTGTGGACGTATACAGCTATTTCAATTAAGGTCGTCCCCCCGAGCAAAGCGGAAAAGTCGAATACGAGCGCGAAAGGCAGCTGGGAATCGCTATAGCGATCGCTATAGCGATTCCGAGCAGCCTTTCGCGCTCGTATTCGACTTTTCCGCTTTGCTCGGAGGACAACCTTAATTGAAATAGCTGTACATGTTCTGTGTCGCGTATTTGCTATGAAAAATGTTCAAAACCGAAAATCTTTTTGGCGTGCCTCTCAAGATTGCTTTGTTCATGTTTAGCTTTATTCTCTAGTTTATCGTACAGTTAGCTACCTTTTTAAATACACATAAAACAATAGTAAAAATTGTGATGTCATTTATCAATGATGCTTTAAAAGTGATGCCATATTTACAGCAATATATCATCTAAAATCTCTTCATTTTAGCAATATCTTACAGATAAAGCACTAAACATACTTTTTAAGTTTGTTTGCCGATTGAGAAACGTATCGAAAAATAAAACTGATTTTGAATGTAGTCATCACCGCAAGTCAGTATATTATAGTTTATACTCATTAGTTTTGAGCGCATGTTCGCAAAAACATCTCCTCCTAAGGGGCAGACCATTAGAAATCCCGGGAGAGGGGGTATAAAACTTTTGCGGCACGAATTTTTTTTTCAGTCTCATGTCTCTGCAGGAATTTTTTTTAATGCATTTAACCTCTGCACGAATTTTTTTTCAAGACTACTTGTACTTTGCTGTTTGCTTGCACGAATTTTTTTTTCTCTGACGTAATGGCTGCACGAATTTTTTTCCAGGCATTTTTCTTTGCACGAATTTTTTTTGGGGAATTTTCACCCCCCCCCCCTCCCGGGATTTCTAATGGTCCGCCCCTAATTTAAGGTGGCTCAATACAGCTTTTAAAAATGGAAAATTCACGATTTAGATGCGTATTTTTGGACAGAATTTTTTTAAATTGTCAAAATAATTGATTATACTACGAGAAATCATTTTTTTAAATAAAATTTGTGGGTCACGATGTCGTTTACGAGTTAAATTACTTTAAAGCCAAAATATCCGCCATCTTGAAACGTCATAGCAACGGCAGTTGCGTAACTTTTGCGCAAAAATTCAAACTCTTTAGATGTTGTTTTATATAAGTAAGGTACTTTTTGTTTATCAACAAGTAATAATTGTCCAACAATACGCATCTAAATCGTGAATTTTCCATTTTTTTTAAAACTGTATTGAGCCACCTTAACGAAAGAAAGGTATAAAAATCTATTTGTATAGGTAATAGTATGGATTCGAGTGCAATTCGGGAAAACCATGTACGAGTGAACTTTTCAAAGACGATCAAAATTGCACGAGTCCGAAGGACGAGTGTATGTTTTTCCAAATTGCACGAGAAACCATACTATATATTACGTATTAATAATATGAAAAAATTATGCAGTCATATGCGTGCGTAGGTCACATGCGAAATAGTTAATTTTAATATAAATAATTTTAATACAAAATCTACTAAAAACGCCAGCCATTTTTGTCACTTGGAAATGTTTGGGTTCTTGTATTATTTTCTGCTAGAAATGGCTGTATTGGGTTTTTTTGTATTATTTTCTGCTAGAAATGGCTGTATTGGGTTTTTTGTAATATTTTCTGCTAGAAATGGTTGTATCTTATAGTCAATGAAATTTGCACTATGTTCCATTTTTGGGCACTGTATTTCATTTTTTGGCACTGTATTTCGAAAAAATTGCACTGTTCTTCATGTATATTATTAAGTTTGTAATATTTTTCATGGAAAGATTTTTAAAGAAAGGTCAGTATTTTAACCTGTTTGTATGAGATACGACGCTTTCGAAGTACTCGACGAGTTTCGTTGACAAAAATTGAATTATTCAGAAGCATTAAATTCAACGAATTAAATTCGACGGAAATTGGACGTATATAATTGAAGCTGAAGGTCTCAGCGTCTTATTTAAATTTCAAAAGGCAATATATAAAATTGGATGAAATAAGGTGTCTTCGTGTGAATATTCCATGTTTTTAATTAACAGCTTTACTTTTCAGCTGTAATATCGCTCGTGCATGGTTCAATGATTCATTCTGAATTCACCTTGTCATATTGTACGATATAAAACGCCGTGCAGCAACTGCACGCAATATGCATGAAATTTGCTATCATAAATGATGAATCACACGGTCATGGAAGAAAATGATATATTTTTGATAACGTGCAAAATTGGTGAAAATTCCTTTGTGATTCTAAACAGATTTCCTAACGAAGAGTATGAACGCAATAGGATTGCAATGCTTGTTATCGTTTGTATGTTGTTACTCTCAACGATAATACTAAACGGAATCTCAATTATAACAATAAGAAAATCATCTCAACTTAGAAACAAAGTTTGTTACTTCGTCATCCTCCTTCAAACTATCGTCGATTTAGGCGTTGGTGTTCTAAGTATACCCATTTTTATTTACCATCTACTTTCTCCATTTTTGAGCACTGCAAAATGCACTTTACTGCCTTGGGTTCTTGGAACCACATACTTACCTTGCGCATTATCAATAATAACACAATCTGCAATGACTCTGGAAAGATACATAGGCGTGCTGCATCCTTATTACTACGAAACCCAAGTCACAAAGAAACGAATTTTGGTGTATGTATGCGGAGGTTGTTCTGCTCTCTTTATAGTATTTTTATCTCGTAATCGTTCAATAATTACAGCTTTCTGTGCAGCAATGATACTTACATTTTTCTGTTTTACTGCATTTGTTTACACAAGAATATATCTTGTGATACGAAAACTAGTTCGTTCCGAAAAAAGGCCAGCCTGCGAAAGTGATGGCAATCAAAATGTAACAAAAAGGCAAATTTTTCGTGAAAGCCGACACGCAAGATCGTGCTTTGCTGTCGTTGTCTGTTTTGGAATTTTGTTGCTGCCTTTAGTGCTGTTAATGGTCTTCTTCAAAATCACTAGTATTTTCTACATCGTGTATGTAAACTGGTCAATTACATCAATGATTTTCAATTCAACCATCAATTCTATGATTTTCTTTTGGACAAAACCATTGCTCAGAAAAGAAGCTATTAAGACCCTCAGATTATATTACTCGTGAATTATTTAATATATAGGATGTGGAAAAGTCCTCATTTCAAACAAAGGTTAAAATTTAACAAATGGTCCTGAAGGAGTAAATGGGAACCGGAATTTTCGGGAAAATCAATTTTCTGGGAAAATGGATTTGGGTTACTGCATGGGACTGCGAATGAAAGACAAAAATGGGAAAGGGAAAACCCAAACAAATGACATTGTAAAGACAGTTGTAGTTGGACATTCAGTGTGAAATAACTTTAAGAACTGCTACAGAGTAAAGTTTGTTCGTTCACTGCAACCAGGTATATCAATCATGTTTCGCTCGCTGCTCTGGTTTAAATAAATGATTACAAAGCCCAGTCGAATTGTAATCAAGACCCAACGTTTCGACACTCCAGTCTAGTGTCTTCATCAGGGGTGATCTAAAGATGCAATCGTGGCTTCTTAAATACCCAAGGGATGACGTCACCTGCCAATGGGATGCATATATTCCTCTGGCAAATAGGCACCGTCATCCCTATTCAAAGCATGATTACTCATATTTATATGCCACGCTTCTAGGCAAAGTCTTTGTTTGTGGTAATTACTTTAGAGTTTTCCCACGCAATCTCGTGTTTGGTGTAACATACATGTTCGGCTAAAGCTGATTTTCCCTTGTCTAAAGTTGAAACAGCCTTTTGATGTTCTTTTAGCCGTGTACCAAACTGGCGTTTAGACTGACCCAAATACTCTTTCTCGCAGTCACCGCATGGTATAGAATATACAGCATGAGTTTTCTGATTTGTTTTAACAGGATCTTTTGGCTTTGCGAAAATATGGCCTAAT